TTCCCGGGAGAACGAAGCAGCATCAGCCATGAATCCCAGGGCTACAAAGAAATGCCGACCATACGCTAAACCTCACGTCAGAAAACGGGCATCCAAGCACACCATTTGAGGCCCAGTTACAGGCTACCTGTGGACCGATAGTATGCCTAAAGGTAGGCTGCGCATAGACGTCTAGTAGGCCTATAGGCAGGCTACGCGTAGACCTACAGGAGCCGATAATAGGCTATGCATAGGCAGTCGCTGGGATTGTTTATTGGCTGGGTATGCTACACAGCGCGCTGCAGCGAACACGACGGGCGGCAGAATCGCTCGGCGAGCGAGCTCTACTCCGTCGTGCAACCTCATCTACACACTCCACGTTATGCGCAAGTGTCTATTCGGCCAGCCAGACACGATGTCCTTGCGAAACGGCGGCTGCTGCCCGATGGGAGCAAAGAGACCCGGCGTTGGGACGCAAATGTCCGACGACATGAGTTGCTCAATCCCGGCGTTTTTTCTCGATTACAGCCCCCGGGGGCCGCTTCGGGGACAGGATGACGTTATATTCTCATGATATAAGAGCAAGAACCGATGCGGCACATTGAATGCGATCAACCGCGCGCGACGGGCAAGCGGAAACATGGGGAAACCTGGCCAAACACAGGGATCGGCTACGAAATGGCCATGGGCGGCCAGCGCGCGAAAACCCGGGAAACACAGCCATCGCACAGAGTGGCCACTCTGCAAAAACCTGGCAGACCCACCATCATACTTAACAGAAAACGAAAGGAAGAAACACTTACCTAGTATACGCGCTGACTGGATAGTGGAAAGCCAAGCGCAGGGATGGAGGTCGTTAAACACGAGGGCGACGCCGAGGACAGATGAGAAAAGCGACGACAACGATGATGAGGACGAAGACGAAGACAAAGACGAAGATAAAGAAGAAAACGAAGACGAAGATGACGACTGAGGAGGACGACGGCGACGACGGAGACGACGAAGAACAGGAACGACGACGACATCGATGACGACTGAGGACGACGACGACGACGACGACGACAACGACGACGACGACGCCGTGCGGGCGCCAGCGAGCGGCAGCTACAGTCCCGGGCCGCGGCCTTGCGCGGGCCCGTCCGTCTACGGCGGCGGGTTACAGAATCACACCCCTCGGTCGAGCCGAGAAGGGGGGGGGAGGGTCCTCTTCCTCTTCCATCCTCCTGCTTCGGGGGCGCGCAGACATGGATTAGCGATCCATGGACTTGACGCGCGGTCGCCAAATCCATGGATCGGGGGAGGTGCCCTCCCCAAAATGCTGCCAATGCCGCCTCGCTCGGTGGCGGAAGTCCACGATTTCCCATGGAAACGGGACCCGTCGCTAATCCACGGCCACGTGATCCATGTTTGCGATCGCCTGACTGCTGCTGCCGCCCTCTGCCACCTCCTTCTCCTCTTCCTCCTCCTCCCCCCATTCCCCTATTGGCTCCTAGTCACCCTGTAGCCGTCCGTTTTCGCAGAGCGACGCGGCCCAGAACTACAGTTCAACAGGCAAGGACATGCAAATGAATCTCCAGGAGGGGTGGACGACCAACACGCCCTCCTCCTCCTCCTCCTCCTCCTCCTCCTCCTCTGCCTCTTCCGCCTCCTCCGCCTCCTCCTCCCCCCCCGCAGAATCAGCAAATCAAGGAAGTCTGAAATCACACAAGTGCAACAACAGGTGAGAAGATCGGCGAAACGCCAAGCACGTTAGGACGATTCTTCCTACCTCCTTTCTGCGGCGCCTGGTAACCCCACCCTGGCATCCTTGAACATCCCCCTCCTCCTCCTTTGACCACTCCCACTCCTCCTCCTCCTCCTCCTCCTCCTCCTCCTCCTCCTCCTCCTCCTAATTCTCATCATCATCACCACCACCACCATCACCATCATCAGTATCGTCATCATAATCGTCAGCATCAGCATCAGCATCAGCAGCAGCATCATCATCATCATCCTCATCATCATCGTCATCATCATCATCATCATCATCATCATCATCATCATCTTCATCATCAGCATCACCATCATCAGCATCAGCATCAGGATAAACATCACCATCATCATCTTCTGCATCATGATCATGATCATGATGATGATCATCATCATCATCAGCATCATCATCATCCTCATCCTCATCCTCATCCTCATCCTCATCCTCATCCTCATCCTCATCCTCATCCTCATCCTCATCCTCATCCTCATCCTCATCCTCATCCTCATCCTCATCCTCATCCTCATCCTCATCCTCATCCTCATCCTCATCCTCATCCTCATCCTCCTCCTCCTCATCATCATTATCATCATCATCATCATCATCATCATCATCATCATCATCATCGTCAGCATCGTCTTCCTCCTTCTCCTCCTCCTCTTCCTCCTCCTCCTCCTCCTCCTCCTCCTCCTCCTCCTCCCCCATTGCCTCCTCCTCGTTCCCGGGGTCGCACCGTCCTGGAAAAGTCGAATGCCGGGCCGAGGACAAAAAACATCCTCAAAGAGCATGAGACCCGCCGCCGGCCACAACGAGGGTACCCTTTCCCAAGATGCACAAGAACTTACAACAAACACGAAGATCACCAGGGTACCCTCCCCGAACCGACCTCGACCTTGTACCTCGGTCCGGCCGTAGTGCAATTCTAATCGTCGGTTCGTCTATCTTCCTCGCCTTCGGTTCCTCGTCGTTCCTGGCATGCAGGGGCTGTTTTCAGGCCCCGGGACCGTCAGAAACGGGTCCCAGACGGAAAACTGCTCCCAGGGAAGTCCCCCAGGCAATTCTTCGACACGACCTGCAAGTTTTCCAGGGAGGTGGTAGGAGGCGGAGGGAGGGAGAGGAGGGAGGGGGAGGAGGGAGGGGGGTCAAGCATCGAGGCATGGGGAAGTGCCCGATCTCTGACTGCCCGCGGGGACGCCCTCGTCGCCCCCTCGACTGGACCCGCCGCGGAAGGCTGGCCAAATCACGCGCCAGGACAGGCCAATGAGGATGATGCCATCATCGGGCGCACCTCACAGATCGATCCGGCTCTAAACCATGATTTTGAGGAAGAGGAGATCGGACACCCAAGCGACAACAATGTCCGCAGGCGGTGCGCACGAGAAATCGCGTGAGGATCCGGCTCTAGAAATGCGGCAGAAAGATGAGGTCCAGGGCTCCAGTCGTGCCTGTTCACGATGTTGCAATGCTTCTCGTCATCGGATCTCAGGGAACATCCTTCCCCCCTCCCTTCCCCCCATCCTCGCCGCTTGCCGCCTGTCATCTCTCCGACCGAAGGGCGCGGGGGAAAAGGGAGGAGGGATGTGGGACGAGGCATGAGGGAACAGGGAGGGATGAGGAGAAGGAAGAGAGAGAGAGAGAGACAGAGAGAGAGAGAGAGTCTAGGAGAAAGGAGACGGGAATGGGGATGGGGGAGGGAGAGGGAGGAAGGGATAAAACGGAGGCATGGGGAACGGGCCCGTCCGCCCTTCCCTTCGTCCACTCGAGCACACACTGACATAGACAGGGGATCCGTGAATCTGGAACACGAGAGCGACAGACCCACGGAAAAGTGCCCCTCCGAAACATAGCGCCCAGGACGCCCCATCTGGCGACGGAGCGCGCCGATTCTTTACGGAAGCGGGACACGTTGCCCGTCCACGCACCGCAATCCACGTTTGCGCTCCCTCGCCCCTCCACCTCACTCGCCCCTCCCTGCCCGGCCCATCCCGTCGTTCAGCACGCGCGCACCTGTCGGGGGCGGACCCACCGTCGCACGGTTGATGCTGCGTCCTTGTCCTCATCCTCGCCCTCGTCATCGTCATCGTCTTCGTCCTCGTCCTCGTCCTCATCCTCGTCCTCCTCCTCCTCCTCCTCCTTCTCCTCCTCCTCCTCCCCTTCCTCCTCCCCTTCCTCCTCTTCCTCCCCTTCCTGTTCCTCTCCCTCGTCCTGTTCCCGCCGCCGTCCCCGGCCCTTCCCTCCCCCCACCTCCCACATCCTGCGACCTGACTTTCTCGATCCACGCCCCACAAGCTCCAGACCCCTGCCGTCGGGACCGTCCTGCGCCCCGGAACCACTGTCTTGACTGGCCTCGGGCCCAGAGACGAAGCCATCACGTCGCATCGGACCGGGCCCTCGCCCCCTCCCACCCCCCCTGGAGGAGGGCAGTGTGGAGCGGAGCGAAGTATCGCCCCCATCGTCGTCATCATCATCATCATCATCATCATCATCATCATCATCATCATCATCCTCATCCTCATCCTCATCCTCATCCTCATCCTCATCCTCATCCTCATCCTCATCCTCATCCTCATCCTCATCATCAGCACCAGCATCAGCATCATCATAATCAGCATTATCGTCATCCTCGTCGTCGCCGCCCTCTGCATCAGCGCCACCACCACCACCACCATCATCATCATCATCAGCATCAGCAACAGCATCAGCATCACCACCATCAGCATCACCATCACCATCACCATCACCATCATCACCATCATCATCATTATCATCATCATGCTCTTCAGCATAATCATCATCATCACCACCACCATCATCAGCAGCAGCGTCATCATCATCATCATCATTATCATCAGCAGCAGCATCATCATCAGCATCATCAGCATCATCATAAACATCACCACCATCATCAGCAGCATCATCAGCACCCTCAGCATCATCATCCTCAGCATCATCATCGTCAGCATCATCATCATCATCATCATCATCATCATCACCATCATCATCCTTCAGCATCATCATCATCATCATCATCATCATCATCATCATCATCATCATCATCATCATCATCATCATCATCGTCGGCATCATCGTCAGCAGCAGCATCCTCCTCGTCATTCTTCTCCTCCTCCTCCTCCTGCTCCTCGTCGTCGTCGCCCTCTCGTCACCATCATCATCGTCATAGCCATCGTCGTCGTCATCGCCCTCTTCGGCGTCGTCGCCGATGTCGTCGGCACCATCGTCGAGCGCCCCCCCCCCCCCCGCGCCGAGGGGACGGCGGCGCACGGCGGGGTCCGGGCGGCCGCTCACATCATCATCTGCTGGGTGGGCGGCGCCAGGTCCTGTCGAGAGTCGAGGCCGCGCACAAGACTGCGCGACGGGGCCAGGGGGCAAGATGGACCCAACTCCTGGCTTAAAACTGATCTGGCCTGACTGCTGCAACTGGGGCGACACGGAGGCGGTGGGCCCCCCTTCGGCTTCTACCGCTCACGGCGTCTGCCCGCCAGCCACTCTCAAACGACGAACGAGGGAGCTTCATCCAACCATGACCCCGTTCACCTTCTACAAATGGAGGAAGCACGTGTTCGGGAGAAGGCTGCTGCCAGGGGTTTGGCTGAACGGGCTCCTCCTGCTGTGCATCTGACCGTTCATCTTCTTCAGTCGGCGGCGTTGGCTTGCCCCACGAAGAACCAATTGCTGGGACCCTCACGTCTATGCGCCGCTCGAATGCGGCCGGTTTGTCGGCGATCAACAAAACCAAACTCAGCGAACCCGTCATTTCATACTCCATGGTACAGAATACAAGTGGCACAGTGCATGGGAAGTGTACAGTGCAGCCGCATGCAAAAACCCAGCCTTATGACGATGAAACTTGAGAGATACCACCACGGAAGAACTCGCGTGGTGTACTTGGCATTAGCATGCTAGCGCAAAATGCACACACGATCAACTTACAGAAGAGTCGCAGGGAACAGTGTGCACAGCACACATACTTGCTGGCACTGGGCAGTGTGATTCGGGACTCCTTTCTGGGAGCGCACAGCAGACTTGATGGGTGTGCATACAGCTATTTCTCGTTTACGCATGAGTATTTGCGACGCAGGTGGAGCAACGACGCCTCATGCGCAAGCGCAAACCCCAAACTAAAACTTGTTCTAGAGCATTAAGGCATCAGCCCGTCAACCCGAGACCCGGATTGACCCGACATCTCAACGCCACAACCATGGGCCAAACGATAGCACCAGGTTTGCCAGAAACACCTTGCCCGAAATCCCACTGCCGCCCCCCCGCCTCCCAGCCTGCCATTCATCCCCGAAGACACCCAGGCCGAAGTTCATGATGCTATGAGATGGTCCTTACACTAATACATGAACATATATCTAGATGTATTAAAAAATATACACGTATACTAGAACCATCGCGCGCGCTTCGCGCGCGCTCAGATTTCTAGCAGGCCCCAGGCCTTGACGAATTCACTGCTCCACTGAAGTAGTGAACCACAGTCCACGCATGCCAATCTTCATTCCGCAAGGCCTTTGAGGAAAATGGTTGTGTAGGGGGGCGGAGGCCGTATGAATCGGGTTCCCAGAAGGCCTTCTGGGAGCATGGGTTTGTGGGCGTCTTGGGGAGCCTGTTGGGGCGTGCCGTCGTCGTCGTCGTCGTCGTCGTAATGTCGTCGTCGCTTATTGGGGCGCGCCGTCGTCGTCGTCGTCGTCGTCGCCGCCGCCGCCGCCGCCGCCGCCGCCGCCGACGCCGCCGCCGCCGCCGCCGTCGTCGTCGTCGTCGTCGTCGTCGTCGTCGTCGTCGTCGTCGTCGTCGTCGTCGTCGTCGTCGTCGTCGTCGTCGTCGTCGTCGTCGTCGTCGTCGTCGTCGTCGTCGTCGTCGTCGTCGTCGTCGTCGTCGTCGTCGTCGTCGTCGTCGTCGTCGTTGTCTTCGTCGTTTCGTCGTCGTCGTTGTCGGTTCAAGAGGGCACTTGGGGTAACTTTTTGCGAAACGATCTGCGGAGGGCCGCGAGAAGGCGATCAGTCATGTTCCCAATCAACTTCCCAGTCAACTCTCCTGTAGCATGATGGTTCTTCGAAGCCTCCGGAGACTCGTGGGCCCATGATGAACCATGTCCCCGGAAGGCTTTGTGGGGACATGGTTTGTTGGGGTGTGTTGGGGGCTCTTGGGCGTTCCCTGGGGGCTCCTTGGGGGCCTCCGGAAACTCTCGGGCCCATGATGAACCATGTCCCCGGAAGGTTTTCTGTTTACATGATTTCTTGGGGTGTGTGGTCGGGCCTCTTGGGCGTTCCCTGGCAGCCCCTTGGGGGTCTCTTGGGGCTTCCCGGGGGCCTCTTGGGCGCCTCACGGGGCTTCGTGGGAGCCTCTTGGTGGCCTTCGGGGGCCTACAGGCGGCCTCTAGGGCCAGAGACCTCGAAATATCGGTTGGCGGTCCCCCTCTGGGCCCTCTCTTGGGGAGCTCTTGGGGCACAGTTGGGTTGTCTGGGGAGCCTCCTGGGCCGTCTTGGGGCCCTCTGCGGGGCCTCGTGGCCCGTCTTGGAGTGACCTGACGGGCCTCCGAGCGAGGCCGTGAGGGAGCGCTGGGAAGCGGGGAAAACGAGAACGCATAATTCCTTCAAAAACCATAGGAAAATTAGTGAATCTTGCCTCCCAGGGCCCTCTTGGGGAGCCTCGTGAGTCCGTCCTGGAGCGTGTTGGAGTCCTCGTCGGCCGTCTTGAGGGCAGCAGCTTGGGCGTCTTCGGGGCCTCTTGGAACCTTCTGGGGCCCTCTCGGGACCTCCATTGGACTGTCGTGGCCTGCTTCGGGGCGAGCCTGGGCCGCCTCGGGACCCCTCTGGGCCTTCTCTTGACGCGCTCTTGGGGCACACTTGGGTTGTCTGGGGAGCATCCTGGGCCGTCTTAGGGCCCTCTTCGGGGCCTCGTGGGCCTTCTTGGAGCGATCCGAAGGGCCTCCGAGGCCGTGAGGGAGCGCTGGAAAGCAGGAAAAGCGAGAACGCCAAAATCCCAAACACTCGGAAAACGAGTGAATCTTGCCTTCCAGGGCCTGGAGCGTGTTGGAGTCCTCGTAGGCCGTCGTGAGGGCATCTTTGGCGTCTTCGGGGCCTCGTAGGACCGTCTTGGGCCCTCTCGGGACTCCCTTAGCCTGTCGTGGCCTGCTTCGGAGCGGGCTCGGGCCGCCTCGGGAGCTCTGGATCCCCCCCGCAACGCCCGGTGGGCACCGATGGGGGGAACAGGCAGCGGCCCGCCCCCCCCCGAGCCTACTCCGAGATAGAGAATCATGTTCCTTGGAAGCTTTCCGGGAGCATGATTTGTTCGGCTCTCTAAAAGGGGGGCCTCTGGGGGCTTACCTAGGGGCGCCTTTTGACCTTGTCAGCAAGCCTACTGGAAACATGGTTGGGACGGTGGGCGGAAGCCCAAGGAATCATGTTCCCGGAAAGCTATCTGGGAAATACGATTTATCGAAGTGTCTTGGGGGCCCGCAGGGGGCTTCCCTGGGGGCCCCTTGGGGGCCTATTGGGGCTTCCGGGGGGGCCTCTTGGGAGCCTCACGGGGCTTCGTGGGAGCCTCTTGATGGCCTCCAGGGGCGTCGTAGGAGCCTCTCAGGCCGGACGGAGACCTTGAAATGTCGCGCTCTTCGGGCCCTTGGGTCGCTCTTGGGGCTCTCTTGGGGCGCTCCCGAGGCCCTCTTGACTTATCTGGGGAGCTTCTGGGCCGTCTCTGGGCTTTCTAAGGAGCATCTTCGGCGGTCTTGGAGCGATCTGAAGGGCCTCTGACGCGGTCCGGGACCGTGAGGAGGCGGAATATGGGAGAGCGCAAGAATGCTTCAAAAACCATTGGAACATTGATGATTTTCTGCTTCTGGGGCCCTTTGGAGGGGCCTCTGGAGGCGCTCTCGGGGCGTTTTGGCGGCGACGTCGGCCGTCCTGAAGCCATCCTCGGCGTGTCCGGGGCCTCTGGGGGCTGTCTTTGGGCGTCCTGGGAACCCGGGCTTCCGGGAACATGATTTCGAACGAGGCCCTCTTGGGCCTCCCTGAGACCGTCTTGGGAGCCTCCTGGGCCGGCTTCAGGGCCTCTCTTGGGCCGTCTTGGGGGGCTCCGTGAGGGGCTCGGGGGCGTCTGGGGCACTGCGAAGACGAAGCAAGGGAGCATGCTGAAAATGTACGTCTTACGAAGGGAATGGGCCGATTTGTGCCTCTTGAAGGCCCTCTTGGGGCCCTCCTCGGCCATCTTCAAGCCAGCTCGGGCCCTCTGGGGCCTCGCTGAGGCTGTCTTGTGGGCCTCTTGGGCGTCCTCGGAAACCGGAAATCATGTTCCTGGAGAGGCTTCCGGGAACATGATGTCGAACGAGGGAGGCCCTCTTGGCCCTCCCTGAGGCCGTCTTGGGGGCCTCCTGGGCCGGCTTCGGGGCCGTCTCGGGAGGTTCCGTGAGCCCCACGGGACGATCTGTTTGGGCCGTCTTGGACCCTCTTGGGCCTCTCTTGGGCTGTCTGGGGCTCCTCGCCCTCTTCATCCATCTTCAAGCCATCTCGGGCCCTCTGGGGCCTCGCTGAGGCTGTGGCGTGCTTCGGGGCTGGTGTATGGAAGCCGTACAGGGACTCACTGCAGAAAGTTGACGTGGAATTCAGGCGATTGTTGCGGCAAGTTGTTGGTCCGCCTGCCGGCGTGGACTGGTCGCAGCCTTGGCATGAAATCTTACACCTCTGGCGCGAGCGGCTCAATCAAGCATTGACCCAACATTGCATTCGCACGTGGTCGAGAGAATCCCTGAAGAGATTTTGGGATTTTGCATATTATGTTGCGAATTTACCTCCGGAGCGATGGGTGCAGAGAGCCTTGCGCTGGACACCGCCTGGGTCGCGCTCACAGGGTCGTCCTCTCATGTCGTGGGATGAGAAGCTGGTGGCTTTTTGCCGAACACATCACATTGGATCGTGGCAAGAAGCCGCGCAAGACGACGCTGCCTGGGCAGATATGACGGAGGACTTCTAGGATTTCTGCGAGTGAGCACGCCCGCCGCTTCCTGCTTGCACTGTAACTTGTTTTTTCCCTCGCGCCCTATATGGGCCCGCCCTCGTGCGAGCGGGGTGACTGGACTTGACTACGAAGGGAATGGGCCAATGTTTGCCTCTTGAAAGCCCTCTTGGGGCCCTCTTCATCCATCTTCAAACCATCTCGGGCCCTCTGGGGCCTCGCTGAGGCTGTCTCTTGGGCGTCCTGGGAACCCGGAAATCATGTTCCGGAGAAGCTTTTCGGGAACATGATTTCGAACGAGGCTCTCTTGGGCCTCCCTGAAACCGTCTTGGGGGCCTCCTGGGCCGGCTTTGGGGCTTCTTGGGGC